ATTATTTACTCTTAATTTGGTACTTTTTTTTATTTTTTTTATTTACTTTTTATTATTATCATTTTTCAATTTTAATACTAACTCTTTGTTTTTGTGTGTTTTATTTTTTAACTTTATTTATGATTTTTTTAGGAAAATTTTAACCAATCAAATGTAAGTAATTTGAATCGAATATCCAAATTGCAATTTCAATTTCAATTTTCGCAATTAAGACAACCGGCAAATTAAATGGTACCGAAAGGGCAATTCAATGATGCTAATCATTCCTTGATTGTAACCGACTCCTGAACTCGACATATTTATGGTAAAACGCAGATCAGGTAAGATGGTATCCGATCAACCAAATTTTTTACAAAAAATAAATGATCGGTGGCGACTCTACAATATTTTTTATTTAAAGTCAAAGCCAAATTCCGGGCCCATCCGAAAGACGGTCGCGACACCTTCAATTCTGGATTATTTTCTTGGAGGCTCTGTGGCTTGCCATAAATTACATTGTTTCTACTTTTTTGCATGAACTGGATCAGTATATGGACCAATTTAATCCAAGACTTAGGTGGCGTTTGGTTGGATGAAATCCTTTGGAATTGGGGGAATTGGAATCCAATTCCACCACTTTCCCATTTTTTGTTCAAGTTTTCTAAGGGAATTAAAATCTATCATGGCTTCAACTTTCCATCAAATGAGGGAAAGTGAATTCCATCCAAGAATGGATGAAATTTAATTATATTGTTGGAGCCCTTGTTGGAGGGAATTTAAATTTGACCATATTATCCTCATCAATCTTTTGATAATTTATTCATATATTGAATAAAAATATTTTTTTATTATTTCGGGTCGGGTTTCTAATTCATATATTCAGGTCGGGTCGGGTGAAACTTTATTTTGGTCGGGTCGGGTCGGTTTTTTTAAGTGTGATATTCGGGTCGGGTCGAGTTCGGGTTTAAGGTGAAAAATACCAGACTCGAAAATATATATAATTTTACCTTATATATTTAGGAATAATTACAATAATACCCCTCTATATATATATATATATTTTTAATTAAGTCGTTTTTATTGAATAAAAATATTTTTTATTATTTCGGGTTGGGTCGGATTTTTTTAAGTATGCTATTCGGGTCGGGTTTTTTTAAGTGTGATATTTGGGTCGGGTCGGGTTTAGGGTAAAAAAACCGTACCGACCCGAAAAATATATAATTTTACCTTATATATTTAGGAATAATTACAATAGTACCCCTCTATATATAATTTTTTTCAATTAAGTCAATGTTTTTATTGAATAAAAAAAATTATTATTATTTTGTGTCGTGTCGGGTTTCTAATTCATATATTGAATAAAAATAATTTTTGGTATATTTTTTAGTAACTAATTAACATACTCCGATTGGAATATATCGAAATATTACTTTATCTTTTGATAACTTATTAACATATTTTGATTGCGATGCTTTTAACTTATGATGTTTATTAACATGATTTTTATAATTTATTGAAATGAATAATCAATCAATAAAATGAAAATTTAATATTTTTTTATTTTTTTAATATATTATTACATGTAAGTTGTAAAGCAAACTAAAATAAAGTAAAAAAAATAAGAAAGACAATTATGTCATTTTACATTACTGAAATCAAATTTATCTGACATGTCTGCGAATCAAACAGAATATGGAATTGGATTCCAATTCTATTTCCTGTCAACCAAACAGAATATGGAATTGGATTATAATTCCTGACAGATCCCAATTCCTTCATAGATTTCAATTCCCTCATAAACATTCCAACGAACCAAACGGCACGTTAATGTATTGATATCAGTATGAAAACATGTAAAAGAACGTGTTTATTATAATAACTTTAAATACAGTAAATCAAACTAAAAAAACATGTTCTTCCTATTCTAAACTTAAGTATGTATCCATTATAGTAATCGATCTTAGCATATGATATGTTCTCTAGAACTAGATGCATTGAGGCATGTAAAAACCCACATTACCTAATTTCAAGATCATTACTTCTTAATACCACAATGATTGAGCTTTAAATAAGCTTATTACAGTCACGACTTACAAGCACATACAGATCATCAAGATGGTTAATGATTAACATATAAAAAGATAAATTAAAGCAACCAGCAAGCAATGCCAAGTTCAATATCATGCACTCAAATAAAAATGAGAAAATATAAAATCAAACTAAAACAATGTTGCTAACAATCTCATCAAAATCTTTAATAGAAAAGATCCCTAATGGTTCACAATATAAATCCCACATAAAACAAAGTCTGAAATAAACTTAGAAAATGTAAAAGAAACGCTTGAAACCCAATAAGTCCATCGAACTTAGAACCCTAGCTTGGTACGGCGCCAGTGCCTACGCTTAGCATTATACCTTCAATCAAAAAAAGGGAAAAATCAATAAATACTCTTGAAAAATCTTAAAAGTAGGAGAAAAACAAAAACTTGTAAACAATATTCAACAAAAAATACCTAATGGTGTTGTCTGTGCGCATGCGGATCCAGTAAGGAATGGGCCTGTTCTGCCTCATCTTCTTGGCCAGCTTCTTCTTGATCCTGAAGGTCTTGTGCGAAGGCTGTCAAATTAAACCATTCAAAGTTTAGACTCTTAAACTCTTCTTTACAAATTAAACCATTCAAAGTTTAGACTCTTTAACTCTTCTTTACAAATAGCGATAAATACCGAACCATTTAAACAAAAGAGTGAAAACATGAACCATAGCAATTCAAGCTTGAAAATGAATAGCCCAACATCTAAGGAAAGGAAGAAGGAATGCGATTACCATTTTTTGGCACTTCCCGCCGTTGAGATGACAGCGGCGCGAAGGTCCTCCTCAAGCTGCCGGGTGAGAGCTTTGCAAACAGAAACCGTGAAAACCTAATAATGAAGATATTAATTATATTAGAGTTTAATCCAAATTTAAGTTTAATCAAAATAATGAAGATATTACGTTAAGAGAAAATTGAGGGAATTAGAAAACATATTTATTTCTATGTTTATTAAAAGTAGAAAAAATATAATTTGAATATATTATGGATTAGAGTTATAATTTAATTAGTCAATAAAAATTTCTATTATTTTTTTTTATTTGTGATATTAGTGAAAATTCTGTTTTTTTCTTAATTTTTCAAATAAAATGTTGATGTTTGTTTTAGTATACGATCATAATATTTACTGTTATTTTTAATAAATTATATTAATTTAATCTATTTAAAATTTTAAAATTAAGTTATTTTTATGAACTTGTTGGTAGGTTTTGTTTTTTTAATAATTTTTTATGGTTTTTGTGAATATAATAAGTAATGTGTTTATTAATAATTAAAGGAAATTGATTACTGGCCTAAGGCGGTCAATATTTGGGCCCAACACAGATTAGAAATGTTACAGCCCATCGTAATTCACAAATATAGTAACTTTGTTTTTTTCAAATCTTAGCTTACCCTCCACGCGCAGTTGATACTAGCGTGGCGCGTCCAAAGGTTTCGATCTTAAATGTTACTTAGGTAATCTCTTCGACGTAAGTATCTCTCTCGAATCTCGATATATAATCCTCTGTTAGTACACCGTCGCTCTGCCTCATTCTAAATATTATTGGATTTAGGGTTCTGGGTTCTCTTTTCCACTATAGTGAATTGGTCATCAAATCAAGTGGTTGTAGTTTTCTCAATAGTTGGCTTCAATCCGATCTCTTATAACGCCAATACCTCCTCGCGCATCTAAGCGAAAATCTGCCCCACCCAATTCCTCTTCCGTCACATCATCCGATGGTCGTTCTGGTACGACTTCCTTTTTTGTTTTCCGTTTCTTTCTGCGGGAGAAAAGGAGAAATGATTCTGCTGTGTTTTAATGTTTGCTATACGAGAAAGCGCGGGAGGAAAAATATGAAATGAATCTTAAAAAAGCGAGAATCTTACAAGCCAAGCAAACCCCGATTACTTCTTTACAGTAATTGCTGGGTTTTTTGTTCTTTTGGTTTGTTAGTGGGTGAATGAATATTATTCTATTCTGATTGTTATTTTCAGAAACCGCGGGAAAAGTGAATAAGTTAAGTTGAAACCTTGTGTGCAAACCGATAAAAAATTTCTTATAACGAGCTTCGATTAAATCGTTTCTATTATAGGTTTTCTGGTTGAATGTATAATTATATTGCAACTTAATGAATTCGTGTTATAATTGATATTATATGTTCATTTTTTTTCTCACAGCAAGTTAAAGAGAAAATAACAAGTATGGGAGACTGTTGCGTCAAAAATAGGGTTTTTTTAGTATTAGATTTTGCCTGATAGAGTGGAAATTTTGGAAAGGTATTGAAAATTAAAGGGTTAGTCAAGTGAAAAGATAGTAAAGTATATATTTTTTAATTCAATTGGTGTTATTAGTAGCAGGGATGAAAAAATTGAAAGAAAATCATATTTTCTTTCTATTCATTTTTTGATATAGTTGAAAAATTAGGGGAAAGTAATCAGTCTTTGAAAAATGTATAGTTTTGAACTCTCTTTCTAAATCGGAATGATTTGGATTTACAAGTGAGAAAAATTATCATCAACCTCATTTTCTTTCCTCCTGCTTTTCCTTTTTACCAAGCATACTCCCTCATTCCATCCTTCTACTTCTCCACTCAATCAAGCAAAACCTTAAAATTAATGTTAGGACTGAGGAGTTCAAACTCTTGAAAGTGATGCAGGAACAAATTTTATAATATTTTATTTATTATTTTAGTTTTATTTCATTATATATATTAATTATTAGATTTATGATGGATGACTAAGGCTAGAGTTATTAAGTACTTTTTAAGTTCATTAGTTATCTTTAGGCCAAAACAATTATTATTATTATTACTTTCTTATGAATTAATAGTAAAACTAGAGGTTTTTTTTATATAATCCCAAGTTTTCTTGTGTTCTATCTTCCCATTCATATTTCAGTCATTATTTTACTGTTTTATTTCTGGTTTTCTTCTTAGCCACATCAGAAAGGAATTTGCTTTTTATTTATGATACTTCTAAATTTACTCTAATAATTTAATATGTTATATTTTCCATGTAACATACCAACTTAGCCTCGTTTTTCTGTAGTTGGTAATATTTGTCTTTTTGTTCTGCCCCTAATTGGTGGTGTGGATAGCCTTACAGGGTCGCAATAGAGTAGCAATCTGACTTGAATGTTTGTTGATTAGATAAAATAATGGTAATGATGTTTATCCTAAGATGATTAAGCTAGAATTTCCACCCCAAACATGCTTTCTATAATTAATCGCCTAATCTTTTGTGTGTTTCTGGTGAGGTGCCTGGTATTCTTACTAGATATGCTACTCTTTGTTTCAGTCTTATATAAAGCTAAAACAAAAGGGATTGGAAAAACAGATCACTTGTTCAATACGTATGCAAATAGTTCCTTAGGCATGATTGAGTAAGTACATTCCGTGCACATTCTTTATATTTTTAGAGCTAAAAGCATGGTGGTATCAACTTTTTCTCTGGCTAAATGGGTGATCGGTATCATCATTTATGAATAGAAAATAATAGAAGGCTGAATAAATTTATTATATTTATCCAATTCATGCTGTTAATTTTCAAGGTCAAGAATCTTTCTCAAACTTATGGTTCTTAGAGGTGTTAAATCTAGTTATCATTTCTTTTAAATCGCCATTTGAACATGATGTCAATGAAAAGCTTGTGAACCTTCTTAAATTGTTGTTTGAACATAATTTCTCACATTTTATTGTATGGTATGTAGAGATATTTCATTGGGTCAAAAAGTGATGAGTTTCGCCGGAAAGAAAGAGCTGTGCCATTTTTTTAAAAGAAAAATCCTTACCTGACTGTTAAAGAAATTTTGATCATTTTGATGCGAGGCGATAAACTGTAACAAATGTAATTTGTCTGGAAATTTTTAACATATGCCCTACCGGAAGCAAAAGGAGAGATTTTCTTTAGATGATTGCTTGCTTATCCTTTTTTAATCCCTTAGTTTGCTTGAGCAGTCCAGAAGGTATTGAAGCACAATGTGCAGATCTAGACGTGGATTACACTGATGTGAGGATATTGATGCGAGCTTGGTATGTATTTAGTGGACAATGATTGGCCCCCGTTGGTGAGAGGTTCTTCTAACAATATGTATTCTGCATATCTCAGGAAATTAAAGCTGAAAAGCAGGGCTATTTTACATATTTAAGTAAAGACACTACTTATATGACTTGTTATATTCAACGGGATACCAGAATAGAGAATGTGAACTGCCGTTAGATGAATGACCACTTTTTTCCTTCTCTTGCATTGAACTAGGATGAGTGGCAAACTGGCCTGAAAGCATTGGGGGTCCAGCGAGGAGTTCCTCTTTGAGCTGACTAAGCCACAGATTGGTTTCAGTCAAAATGATTTCGAACCCTTGGATAATATAATGATGTACATGATCAAATCGGTGAGAAAATAATTTCCATTGTATTTCTTGATTTTGAAACCCTTGGAGAAGTTCCTTGAAATGACTGTATTTTCTCTGATGCAGGAGTTAAATAAGGAGTCCCCATTGTTGGATGGAGAATTTGGATTCGATGCGTACTCCCTTGGATCATGTATATGAGAAGGCTGATGCTGATTCTAAGATAAAAGATGGTTGCTTCATTTAATATCTTGTCGAAAATTATGACATCTTCCTTTATGGAATTCTTTCTTCATGTCCTGCAAATTGATGGAAATGTAGTTTGAGAAATTTTTAGTTTGTCCGTTTTTTCTTAGTTTTAGTTTGGTTTGTCATAGTTTATTTGAAGGTAACAGAAGAGTTTTTTCCTGCTGAGAATGGCAAACGTCGAGTCTCGATACTTCACCGCCGAGCAACACAGATGGAACATGGAAAACCTCGAAGGCCATGAGTATCAACTTCATGTTCTACCTCGAACCAATTTCTGTTGGAGAATAGTTGTAATATAAGCTTGCTGCTGAGACTAATCTTCGTTGCTCCTGATGGACATTTATCAATCATCTTGTATATCTGATCTACACTAGAAAAGTTGTTTCTTCAATGGAAGATTTGCCTTAAAATCATTTAATATGAATGACAAATAGCATTTAAATAGCAGAAAATGACGTTCTTGCTAATTACTGCTACCAATGTTCTATCACAGCAATAACTTGTTGAATAAAACACTAAGAAAAGAAGGGATATATGGGGTTTCTTTAGCAGATTTAACAGGTCATTGGAGAACAAAGGGTATCAATTAGATAAATTGATACAGGAGAATATCATTGGATCCAAAATTCCAACTCCCTGCTATCGACATTGTTTTTTTCTTCTTCTTCTTCTTTTGTGTGCGGAAATTACTGGTTTTCTTAAGGAAACTAGCTGGCATTCACTACCACGTTCAACAGATTTTAAGGATAAATTACATCAGTCACTAAACTTTTAGGATATTCTCAGTTTGTTCACGAAAATAATTTTTCTTTTATTGAAGTCCCCGTTGTCCAACCATTAATGATGGCTGACGTGGTAAGTCCATATATCAACGAAACTGAATAAGCACGCTCACGTCATTTTCCTTAATAAAAATGAAACAGATTGCAATTTTTATAAATGCGTTTTAACAAAATTCTTAATTTAAACTAAATATAAGTGAAGTTTGACAAGGACAATAACTCTGACTCTAATGATTGCTTCTTCGGTTAGATGAGATATCATGTATTGACTTACAACAGTTGTTTAACATAGTATGTACCTCTGTCGCCCCCTCATCATATTGGCTTAATTGGTCTGAATTACATCCGAATTCTCATTTTCGCCTTAATTTTTGTTTTCTTTTTAGAAAAAAAGTAACCCTTAAAGTTTTATTTCATTGCCTTCATTTCTGACGTTGTGCGACCCTTTCAACCGATTATTAAATGATATATAGAGGGTAAAACTGAAAATAAAATATAATTTAAGGGCTAAGCCGTGAAATGGTTGTTCTTTTTTAAGAGATTACAGTTCTAATTACAACAGAAATAATTATTGCAAGTATTAATTGAATTTCAACAAATCAGAATGATAATTCAACAAAATCAAATATTTATTGCTTGCTTGCAAGTTAAGTAAATTTCCAAAACTCGGCTGGAATGGACTAAATATTGGACGGTTGTTATCATTATTTTGCTTTTCTTCCTCCTCAAGGACGCTTCTCCAATCTGACCATCAGAAAACCCATATGACCCAAAATTCTATCATACTTCTTCCATAGTCGGCCCAGAAGCTTCCCTATGCATCCGGTAGTTTCAAGTATTTACATACCTACACATGAAAGGCCCTTAATCCTCCACGTCTCACTTAAGACTTTCTTTGCATTTCTCCATTTTTATTTTTTAGATTTATTTTGCCTATATATGGAGTATTATTACTACCTCATCAAGAATCAGCAAAAGAGGTAGATTACAAAACAAATCCTAAACCCCCAACCAAAATTCTTCTTCTCTCTTTGGCGACAAGAAAACCCAAAACAATGTCGCAGGCAACAATGGAAGTGGTGAAGAACTTGGACATCAAAAGATACATGGGGAGGTGGTACGAGATAGCTTCATTCCCGTCAAGGTTTCAGCCAAGGAATGGGGTGAACACAAGGGCTACCTATACTTTGAACCAGGATGGAACCGTGCATGTGCTTAACGAGACTTGGACTGTTGGCAAAAGAGGGTATATAGAAGGCACCGCCTACAAGGCTGATCCCAAGAGCGATGAGGCAAAGCTCAAGGTTAAATTTTATGTTCCTCCTTTCTTGCCCATCATTCCTGTTGTTGGAGATTACTGGGTTCTGTACATCGACGATGATTATCAGTATGCTCTTATTGGCCAGCCAAGCAGGAATTATCTCTGGGTATGTATTTTATTTCATCCCCTCAATCTCTTTTGTAGCAATTTAAGTTGTTCAAGTGGAATGCATGTGCTGATCGTCTTTGTATTTTTTTTGGGGGTGGGGGGTTCTGGTGTAGATACTGTGCAGGCAGACACATATGGATGATGGAATCTACAATCATCTGGTGCAGAAAGCTGAAGCTGTGGGATATGATGTTAGTAAACTGCACAAGACCGAACAAAGCGATCCTCCACCAGAAGGAGAGAACACTTCTAACGACACCAAAGGCATTTGGTGGATCAAATCCCTTTTTGGGAAGTAGAAATCATGGTTTTGTGGAAATATCGAAATCCAGTACTCAATATTCCCACCTTGTGTTTGTTCTGCTAAGAAATAGGTTGGCTTTCAGTTGAATGTTTTAAATATGAAACTCTGATCAAGTTATATGCAATTCTGGTTGAAACTAAAGAGCAATTACTTGGTTATATATGTGTTCGTGTGTGTGTGCGGTTTACCCATTTCAAAGGTCATCTACTTTGTAAACATTATGATTTCATTTCCCGTTTTATAATGAAAGCTACCAAGTTCTCTAAAACTAAGTATTGATAAAACCATGTAAGCAAAATTACAGTTACCATCGGAGCTTCAGGCACCAGAACTGGTAAATGGTGCCGTACCACCGCTTTTACTGAAGTTTACAGTGAGGTACAGCATTGATTGGTTCTCTTAGCCTGCTTGTAGAACATCTGTTTCCAAGTATAAACAAAATTAGGTGTAATGGCCGTTCTATCGGAATTCAGTTGATAAAATCATGCTACGATGAAAGGATTTCAGAAGCATATAATAGTCACATGCCTGCTATGTTCAGGAGCATTTGAAGACATACTAATGGGAAATACTAATAGATATGTTAACCTTTTGATCTTTTGATAGAGAGGTGGACTCTTGGTTTCAATGATATACAACCCCAAGTACCAAGGAAAGAAGTGATAAACTAGAAAGAAACAAAGGCCAAAAGAATCAGCTAGATGCATATGCATAATGGGATGACATGTGGAGTCTTCCACGATGTACCTGAAATGCCGCACTCAGGTCTGAACTCTTCTCAACTAAATTGTCTAGCTTCTCACCTCGTGCAAGCACACTATCAATAGTTTTATGCTTACGTCAAAGAAATACTCATTTCAATCAGCGAGAGAAGAATAAATAATCAATCATAGGTTCACATAACATTACAATTCTTTCTAGCTAGCAAGAATTCCTCCAAATCTTCACGTTGAGAAACCGAACAGACAGCACTCAAAGACTCACTGTAATCCATGCCGAACAAACCGAACTGTTACGCAATCTGTTGATGGATCTATTATCAATTTTACAAGGAATTATAACCAGCCAGCCACTAGCAATGGTTTCAAGTAAGAAATAATTTTAACAAACCATATTCTAAGAATGGAACCTAGGTTCATTTCAGTTGGATTTCTTGTATTCTAAAGAGCCATCAGGCAGTTTATATGACCTAACTTAGAATACCTCTCTTTCCCCGAATAATATGGTAGAAGTGTAATTTTAGAAAACTCATTTAGGCACTTGTCCAGTCATTTCCCTGATCAGAAAATGGAGGGAACAGTCTGAATCCAATACATTTACAAATTGCATTCTCACCATCCAACTGAAAAGGCAAAACAGGTTCTTAATATCACTCCTAGTTAAACATCATCAATGATGGCTAGTCAGCTACTTATAATCAAATATTTTAACGTCACATTATCAAGAAATCAAAACGTTAAAGTGAAAAAGGAAAAAATTTCAACCTAAAACATGTGTTCTGTAATCTGCATGTTAATTTCAGAATAAACATTCACTATGGGTATTAGCCAACAAAATGATAATTAGAAGCTGAAGATTGCATGGAACGGAAGCTGAAAGCTAAAAGAAACCACATGAAGCCATAAAATCCATGAAACGAAGACAACAAAATACTTACGAGGATGATCTAAGGTTCATCCAATTCCCTTTGAACTTTCAACAATTTATCAGCCTCGGCGGGGTCCTGAAGATGGTAAGATGGTTAAAGAAAGGTGTTTCTACAATGTAACTTCTCTAAAGCTCCAACTAACTATATTTTACAAAATGCTTCTGAGATGAATTTGAAAAGTATAATTCCTCACCCCATATTAAAATTAAGGCAGACATGTATAAAAAACAAAAATAGATACCTGGAATTTGACCAGAGACTCATCCAGATAAGGCCAAGATTGAGTACTATCAAAGCATCAGCTTCCACGTTCCTCCATGATTCCCCAATTTCTTTCTGGTATTCATCTACCACCTGCCGAACATTATCATTTGAAATTTATTGAAGAAACCGCAGAAGATACAGACAGATAAACTTCATGACAAAAAGGCAAAAAACAACACAAAAAATAGACACGTGCAGAACACGATAATATAATACTCTAAAACTCTTGACATCATCTTAAATTCATATCCAATGTTTCTTGGCTTTGCAGGTACTTCTTCCGATTTTACTTGGTTATCCGATGGAAAGTAAAATTCAGGGAAATGTTAATCAGTGTTTAGTGACACTAATTAAGAAGACGTTTGTAAAAAGAAACAAGCAATTAGTGAATTACTTTTAAAGTAACAGCAAAAGCCAAAAGAAAAGATTTTCTTAAATTACTAATGGACGCCTATAATCTAACTGCATATCACTATAAGAGTTCAGATTTTAAAGCGTATTAATTGTTTCCTGGATAAATAAAATCAAATAACTTACATACAAAAATCCAAACGCGGAGATATTTAATCTAATCCCTACGAAAATGGATAATGAACAAAACAGATATAAAATTAATAGTTATCCGGGTTGAAACGGAAAAGATTGGAAAAACCGGAAGGACCTTTGCGCTGGATGGATGGCGTACGTTTAGCGACGGTTCGAGCGAAAAAGACGATAAACTCCCTGACGCTTGGCCTTTTGAAGTAACTGAAATGGCTCACATCGGATGCGTTCGCTAATATTATCGCATCGGGTCCTTCTGGGATGCACTTCAATACCAATAACGACGTGATCTTCATCTTTTCCCTTCTCTCTTACTTTTCCACAAAAATAACAAATTATATTTCGTTCTTTTATCTGCCAAAAGAAATCTTTGCTCTTGTTTGATTTCGTGTTTTTACTGTTATTGCCTCTTCAGATTCGCAAGAGGAACGTGGTAAGTAGAGTAGGGAATAGGCATCTAGTGAAGTCGAGCCTTTTCTCAATTATTTGCAATCGCTTGGATGGCTCGCATCTAATGCCGACAAAATAGAGAGAGAGAGAGAGAGAGAGAGAGAGAGAGAGAGAGAGGAGATTGTCATGTAGTTGGATACGTCGGGGCCGTTGTCTGTCTCCCACTAGAATCTAGTGTTTCATGCCGCCCGTTCGGTCCAGTTAAACCCAAACAACTTAAGAACTTAGGGTTGCTTGGTCCGCTTGAAATCTAATCAGCATAGCCAATGAAAGTGTAAACTAGTCAAGAGACTACTAGTCTAATAGAATTTCATGTCTCTATTTTACAAACTGAGAACTTAGTTCTTGACTTTAATTTATCAGATTTTAATCCTCCTATTTTATGAAATTAAGAGGTTAGTCCAATTGGATAACACTATCAAAACTTTATGTTGTATTATTAATAAAAAAATCAGTAATAATAATATACACGTAGAGGATATAAAATTAACTATTCAGTAATTATATCAAATAAATTAGAAAAAATATTTGTTAGATAAATTTCTCTTTTATCACAAAGTATTATTGAATTTTAATAAAATACATGAATTAATTTATTAGCTTTCTTAAATAGAGGGTGTAACATATAATTAGAATAAAAGATTATTATTCCAATAATGTAAATTTAAAATTCAAAAATAAACTATATGTGCAAATAATTTTGAATAATGAAAAAATTATGACAAATAAAATAGCATAAAAGAATGATGAAGACAACAAATTGTTATTGGCTGTCCGTATACACAAAACTAACCACAAAAGAAAGAACAGTCAAAATGTGAACTAAGATCGGTTATAAATTTTAACACAGGTCGATTATATTTAAATTTATAAGAAATTTCACCTATTAACTTTCGATTATGTATCAGTATACTATAAATTTTAAAACTTATTCATTTAAATATTAAATTTTAAATCAATTAAAATATTATTCTATTGAATCATTCTTACGGTGTGATAATTTGGTGTTAATGGGAAGTTAAAAAAAATTATTTATTTTATCATATCATTTCTTTAATCAAAATTAGAATTTTTCATCAATTTTTAATTACTATTGAAAATCATTACTGTGATATCTTTACGATCATTCTAGGTATTGATGAATTCGCCTCAATGTCTTATACCACTTTTTCGATTTAAAATTTGAAAATCTCTTTAAAACTAATGATCTTCAGCACAAAAAGTTATTTTAAAGGTTTGAGATAATATTTGTTTAAAAATTTAAACAACAAGGAATATTCTTTCGAGAAGTGAATTATTCGATAAACTAATCTAAGGAGAAGAAAGAAAAGTAGAATACTTTGATATCAACCTTGCTGCGAATGACAATCAATGATACTGTGATAGACAATGTTTGATTGACAACAACAAGAAAAGTTGATGATTTTTATAGGTATCAAATTGATACACAAATTAAAGTACAATGTCTAAAATTAAAATATTTTAAAGTATAGTAACAAAATGAATACACAAGCTAAAGTTTAATGGAAGAAACGATCATATCATCATGAAGTTTATTATCTAATGGTTCAATACCCTAAGGGTACGTTTGGTTCACGGAATGTAAGATTACCAGTGAGAATAAAAAGATTATCAGGGAATAGGATTATTGAGAATATTGTATTTTGTGTTTGGTTGGTTTAGGAGAAATGTAAGATTATCGTGTTTGGTTAAAGGAATAAAAGATTATTGGAATGTATATTTGACCAAATTATCCTTATTATATATTTGTTTTTTAACAAGTTGAATTATACTATAATATTACTATAATTAATTTATATATTTTCTTTAAAAAAATTAAATTCATAAAATTTATATAATTTTTTTTACAAAATTGAAAAGATAAATATGTTTAATTAAAGGGTAAATTTTTTTAACCCCTTAATTTCATTTAAAATTTTAATTATAGATTTTTTTTGTAAATCTAAAATAGTTTAAAGATAAAATTTTAATTTAACCTTCGTAGAATTTTTATTATTCAACGACAGAAGAAAGATATTTTTGGAAAAAAAAATTAAGGGCATTTTAGTCATAAACGCCGGTAATCCAACAATACCTAAGGGAAGGGGTAATCACATTCTCGATAATATATCCCAAAAAATCCACTGTTGGTAATAAAAGATTATCGGGAATGAGATTACCGGCCAACCAAACGGGGGAATGAAATCCTCATTTCCCCGGTAATACAACATTCCTTGAATCAAACATGGCCAAATTGAACCAAAAATTAAAATAATTTAATATTTAAATTAAAATAAATGAAAATTTAATGATAAAAACGATATATCAATTGAAATTCAATTATATTGGGACGTAGTTTGTTATTAATTTCAGTATACGTCCTCAAATATGAAAAATAAGCAAAAATAATGATAAAAAAACATAGAGAGGGTTGAAGAAGAGGAAGAGGAAGGTGGGAGTTTCAAACGGTTTAAGCCGTTAGGGTTAGGAGCTGTCGTTTCCCGCTTTTAAGCCATCTTGTTGTCGAAAAAATAGGAACAAGAATAGCAAATCAACAACAGACCTAAAAATAAAATAAAAAGGGGTGGTTCACGGAAATAAATTCTGACCAGCTATTAATGCGAAAAACTTGTAAGGGAGTTATCAAAAACAAAACCTTGGAACCGGTTAACCTCTCCCTACCTCATCCTTTTCTTGTTCTTTTTATTACATTGCATTGCATTCCCTTCGAGAGTTTCTTTCATAGTTTATCAGAAACTTGACAAGGGAATGTTCTTATTGCACATATAATCAATCTATTGTAAGTTCAGGTAAGGTTGATGATGATGAGATGGGGGTTTTTTTATTGGGGTTTGGATTTCTGGGTTTGAGTGGTCTGTTTTAGATCAAACGAAAATAATATTAAAAAATATAAATAAAAAAAGAAAACATTGTAGCAAGATCTAAAGATGATCAGTTGCTGTTATTTTTTAACGTGTAATCATGTTAAACAAATTTTCATATTTTTTCAACATGAAATTTTAAAATTTTCACATATTTTAATTGTTTTATTAATTATCTGTTTTTACCTACTGTTAAGATTGGGCAATGGATTTATCTGATAATGTTGTAAACAAATTTGCAGGATATTTGGTGGTAAAATGATCAGGCGTTTGTTTTTGATGTCCCTGTTGGTCCAAGCGACTTTGGCAAAATCTGACGTGGCGGCGGCGGTGGCGGTATTGAACCTGCAAAGCCTGCGGCTGCTCCAAGGAATGGCCAACCTTAAGCGGTAACATCTTCTATTTAGTTTCCAAGGAGAGGGATAGATGGATATAAGTTCACCCTCCTACATAAAACTCTACATCCAGTAGAATGGTGGATTAAATAAATTTGGGTGTTTTACAGGATACCCACCCCTTGTAATTGCACGAGGAGGATTCTCGGGGCTTTTCCCCGAATCGACGGCACTTGCAAATAACTTGGCCTTGCAATTACGGTATACAGATGTGGCTTTGTTATGCAACCTACAGCTGACAAAAGACAGCGTCGGCATATGCGTTACGGATATCAGGCTTGATAACTCAACAAACATCGCAGAGGTCTTTCCCAAAGATTCCAAGACCTACCAGATCAATGGACATGATATTAAGGGTTGGTTTGCTAAGGATTTCTCATCTCAAGTAATACTGAACAATGTCTCAAGTAAGTGTGCTTCTCAAAGTGTTTTCCCCTATATATTTCACTGAAACAAGAATGGTTAAAATCGTCGGCTTTGTCCTGTCGACAGTGATTCAAAGTGTATTGTCTCGACCGAGTGCGTTCGACAATCGACTTCTGGTCGGACCCATTTATGAAGTCAGAGAAGCGAAACCAGAATTGTTTTGGTTGAATGTCCAGGTTTAATATTTCTCCTCTGTTTTCTCTGTTGCAGTATGATGCTTTCTATAGTGCACTAATTCATCTGTTTTATTTGTTGCAGTATGATGCTTTCTATACTGAGAACAAACTCAGTATGTCGAATTATATTGAAAGACTAGAGGATTCAGGGCATAAAATACATTTCGTCTCCTGAGATTGGTTTCTTGAGGAACATGAAGAGAAGGGCTCCCAAGGAGATAAATTTCATCTTTGTGTGCCTCGGACGGGATGTGGTCGAACCGACGGAGAACAAGAAATATAGCGACATATTGAAGGATCTTAATGCCATCAAAGCCTTTGCAACCGGGGTTATGGTTCCCAAGAATTCATATGGCCTGTTGGTGAAAATAACTACTTGCAAACCAACTACCCTTGTGACCGATGCTCACAAGGCTGGCCTTGAAGTGTATGCTTCTGGTTTTTCAAATGATCAAATGATAAGTCACAATTATAGTTATGACCCGACAACTGAGATCTTGAATTACGTTAATTATCCGGATTTTACGGTCGATGGGTTGCTTACGGATTTCTCCCCTATAGCATCAAACGCCATCGGTGAGCTTATTAACTGATGTTTTAATCATAGTTATAGCAGGAATATAATAAAGCCTAAATTTTATTCTGAGGTTGAGATTAACCTTTCCAAATGGTCTTTCTGATGCAGCATGCTTTGCAACTAACGAAACCAAAAAGGAAAAGCAATGTAAAAGCTAAGTTGGAATCCTTTGAATGAGTACCAGACCTTTATGTGTATACTAATGTTTCCCTATGATTTTGTGGCTTTACAGTGAAAACTTTGATTATAACTCACAATGGGGCGAGTGGGGTATATCCCGGTTGCACCGATCTGGCTTATGAGCAGGCAGTAAACGATGGAGCTGACATAATAGATTGCTCGGTCCAATTGTCGAAAGATGGAGTTGCCTTCTGTTCAGATTCTACCGATTTGACAGGGGATACTACTGCAATGCCCACATTCATGTCCAAATCTTCCTTAGTTCCTGAAGTTCAAAAGGATAAGGGAGTTTTTTCGTTCGATCTTACATGGACCGAGATCCAGACCTTGAAACGTAAGCTTATTTAACACCAATCATAATAGTTATCATATGTTACATCGTTTTAGCGGTCTCGTTAATGTTATCTGTCTTTCTTCAGCTCAAATGTACAGCCCTTTCGGACAAAGGACTGGCTACTACAGAAACCCTGCGGCCAAAAACAAAGGAAAATTCATGACTCTAAATGACTTTTTGGGGTTTGCCAAGGCCAAAGAAGTTGAAGGAGTTCTAATCAACATAGAAGTAAGATATACATTCATTAACCTATATGAAAACTGTGTCGAATTTTGGTATTTGATGAACATATGATTGATTCATTGAGTTGTCTGCAGAATGCTGCTTACTTAGCATCAAAGAAGGGTCTTGACATTATAGATACAGTGAACAAAGCATTGAAGAATGCAAGCTTAGACAAAGTAAAAGTCATGATCCAATCGGACAACAGTTCGGTACTAAAGAAATACCAAGGTGATCAGGGCTACAAAAGATTGTTACATTTGAAGGTACCAATCAGCAAGGTCGCTAAATCGGTACCCGAAGAGATCAAGAAATTCGCAGATGCAATTGTTGTACCAAGACCTTCCTTGATAGAAATAAATGAAGGTGGTTTCACCAAGGCTACAACAAACGTTCTCAAGGAGATGCATGCGGTGAACGTCTCGGTTTACGTCTCGGTCATGAGGAATGAATTTATCGCAATCCCATTCGATTTCTTCGCGGACCCAACCATGGAGCTTGCCACTTATAATATAGAATTAAATGTTGATGGGTTTGTAACAGAGTTCCCTGCAACAGCCAGCAGATATTTGAGTGAGTACTTCCACCATAAAAAAATCTAAAAACTTAATCCGAGTGTCGAGTTCGAATACACGCGTTAACTTTTTTGGTTTCGGTGGTTGCAGGGAGTTCATGTGTGGATATGAATGCAGATGCTGCCATCTTACCAGCTGAAGTAGGTGCATTGCTTCAGGAAATTCCTAAAGACACTGCCAGCAGTTCAAGAACCCAGTCGCCCACTTGAGGTTAAAGATCTTGCTTCCCCTCCAATACCGCCGGTTAAAGCTGCAACGGCTGCGGATCTAATTCGCCAGGTCCCCCTGGTGCACCTGCGCCCCTCCTTCAAGCACGGTTGTTGCCACCAACTTTGATGTTTGTGTAGCAGCATTTATGGCACTCGGCCTTTTACTCAATGTAGCACTGAAACTATAAACTGTAACGGCATGATTGATCTATTTCTCATGGTTTGTACCATTCTGATCCTAACAGATGCATTTATATGGAATATATGTACATGTACACCAAAAGGTTGATCAAAAAATTGAAAATAAACAAATTCTTATTTATTTACAATTTCATTTTCACCTTATCTTACTACAAACTTGCTCCCTTGATTTTCACCTTATCTTACTGGTTAAATTCTCAGCACATTTATCGGTGATGGAGTAATGGAAATCAGAGTCTCTAATATTGAAGAAACTGCAACAACTTTCAGTAGAAGATTTATCTTTATATAACATGCACATCTATAGGATAATTTCCAGAAATTTCTGCATAATTAATATTTATGAGAAATTTATAGTTATGGCTTAATTTTAAAGGAAGTAAAAAGGTTCTAGGCTTGATTTATTGAGTTTGAGATATATTTCCGGTGAAACGAACACTAGATTTGAGTTCAGAAAGTGTAAAAGAGTATATTGTAAATTTTAGGACCCAACGGTCGTCGACGGCGACGGTCGATGGTGAGTGGCAGTCGGTGACGAGAGATTTTGGTCGAATTCAACGATTAAGTTGATATTTTATTTAAAGTTTAAGGGTCAAATTTATATTTCATCTAAAATTTATGATCAAATTAATATTATACCTAAAGTTCAAAGTCGTTAAAAATTAATCCTTTTTGACTATACTACATCATCGTGAGTTAACCGTTCAAAAATCAGAATATAACCGTTGATAATGTAAATGACTTAAATTTAATAAATCGATAATATAAATTATCAAAACATAATATTTTTTAATTTTATAAGGAAATGAATAAATAGGAAAGGAAATTGATCAATCCGGTAATTTATCCTTTTAACAAAGATTTTAGGGGAAAAGACTAATTTTCAGGCCTAAACAAAGTAGTGAGGTCCAATCGTTTTTAAGTTGCAAAGTCCAGTTGATAATAAATAGAAAAGGCCTAAGATTTTTCTTCTACAACTGAACCCAATTTAATTTTATATCTATATATTGATTTATTTGGTCTTTTCATCTCAAAACTTCCCTTCCTCAGATCGTTGAGAAATCCCAAGACTCATATGCTGTAATCAGGTATTCTTATGAAACAAGTAGTCGTGTTTACCATTCGTAAATGTGCTCATACTTATTTGAAAACTCATGGTCACTTTTCTTTGCAATATCGTGGTAATTGTTTAGAATATTAAGTTTTTTTCCTAGTACGAATTTCTGGGTTTTGTTGGAATCCCAGAAAAAATGTATTTCTTTTCTGGATCATAATGATATTAGTTAGATGGGATGTCTTCGGTTGCATTATTTTACCATTGATTGGCAAAGATTAATCGGCTTGATCTTGCTCTGGATCAGTGATGAACGCAACCGTTTCACATAAAGTACCAGTTGATTCAATTAGTCTCTTTGTCTCCTTTCTATTCTATGTTTCCCATTCAGTTACCAGTAAGCCAAAACTAAGTACCGAGGCCATGAAAATGAGGTAGTATCCTCTGTGGCTTTTCCAGCCAACTTCTTGACTTCATTTAACAAGAGGTGCTTAATTTTTCTGCACCGAACATCAGCCGCTGCCAATGTTACCCGATCTCTTCATTTCCCCCCACAAAGTACCTACATCTAACCGATATTCATTTAGACACTCACCCCTAGTGCAGGTAACCCAGACACCTCGGAAACAGGAGCAAGTGTCCATTGCATTCTGTAACTTCACTGCACTGCATCTCATAAGTTTTGTTTGGGATTGTTCCAAGTTTCCAGCTTCTTCCACAGATAAGATAACCATTTAAGATTTAAAGTCGTTTTCTCTTAGAATAGAATGTGCTGAACCAATTAATGCCTCCAACTTTACTGGGAAACAGAAGGGAAACACGATTGTTGGGTATTTTATCTTTTGTGCACACAGCACTGTCTGGAAGGTGTTATTTGGAAAGGTAACAATCTTGTCTACTCGTGAAACAATAAGTCTCTAGGCATGATAAATCTGGCTGGCTAACACATCTGGCATATGCTTAAAATCAGTGTAATCTCAAATTTAGTGCTCGTCTTACCACTTACCAGCTCTTTTTTGTACTACGTTAGGTGGCTGATTCACTTGAGAAGGGCACTGAACATGAAGACGAATACATGATCAGTGAGAAGGACCTCCTTGTGAACAAGTTATGCACTTTCCATCACTTATCTCTTATAATGCAATTGTTCCTACCAACTTGACCTCTTGTTCTATATTAATAACCAACTGGTCTGTTTGCATTGTAGGTTTATTTCAGTTCCAAAAGACATGGGGACATTTAATTGTGGGGCATTTGTTGCTGGAATAGTGAGGGTAAGTGCTACATTCATTTTGTGTATAAAATAACTAATCATTTGGTGGAAGTTCTTATAGACTCTTTTTGTTGGTTGGAAGGGTGTTTTGGATGGGGCAGGATTTCCAGCAGTAGTAACAGCTCATTTTGTACCTATGGAGGGACTGCAAAGACCTCGGACAACCATCTTGATAAAGTTTGCTGAAGAGGTAAGGACTACTATTATGCTGTTGCATCTGATATTCCCTCATTACTTGAAGTCTGGCTTGCCCAACTCTAGTTGTATAAACGTATTTGATGCTTGGTTTTATGTTTATGGTTCATGAATGTTATCAATATACTTTTCTTCTTAATTTGTCTAGGACTGGCAATAGGTAAAGTCAAATTAGTACTAAGAGATAGTTGGAAAAAGAAGAAGAAATTTAGGCAGATAACACGGGGCTTGGTTTTTGACATTTCAATAAAATACAATATAGTTTTGTGCATGTTTTGCTAAACTACATTCAGCTGGCTATTCAAGCGTCTGTTTCTTTTGAAAATTTTGTGGCACTGCTGCTGTCCATTTCCACGGTAATCTACTTTAATTCCTATCTTCATTATCATAGCATTGTGGAAGGTTGAAGGTCCGAGTATATTTGTTATTGTTTCCACTGCTATATTTGAAGAAGGCTATGTTGCTTGGACACGAAGGTGACTGATACAGGTGTATGTCCGACATATCATGTTTGACTATGTGTCATATACGGTCATTGGACATGAATATTTTATAGAAAATGAAGAGTTGGAACAATATTGGAAGAAGGCATCGAGACTCCAAAGTGCAACAGGTAGCTATCAGTTTCCATCAGAATATGTTTTTGCTACTTGTTCTGCATAACGATCTGTCGTAGCATATCGGCTTATTACATCCTTATTATTGAAAATGGTATCTCAAAAATAGCATATACATGTATTTCTATACAGGATTTCTGGTTATTTCTGCTTGAACCAGGTTTTGCAAAGAGAAGCGAGGTTAGGCTGATTTTATGCCTCGTTGTCCAAGTCTGCGACACTATGGAGTGAACAATGAACCTCAGCTGCGTCCTTAATCTAACATGGATCATCCGATTAGTGATGGATTGTGTATTATTTTCTTTCATGTTGCAAAAGATTACTGCAAAGTGATGTAAAAGTAAAATGTCATCATTACCGTTACTTTGTGTTAATATGACCTCGTATGGGATTGGATTATTACTGAGGAGAATACGAATTTGTTTTCGTGGATTATATTTTGATTTTGTTCTGGGAAAGTTTATTCCAAACATTTTTTGTATTCGTTTCCCAGAAAAAAAGGCTCAAACTTTTTTATATTAGATGTAAATTTGTAAAATTAACAATATTTAAGTTAATTTAAACTCTAAAATATATAATTTTAAACTCTATAAAGAATAGTACATTTCCGTTTTCTTTTTCATCACCAGTAATGTTATTATTTTCAAAAAAATCTAAAATTAACATAATATATATATATATATAGGAATGAACATGAAACTAAGATCTGACTCGATCTTATAGGATCAGGTTTTATTTCCAAATGAATGAAGCTTTGATTATAATTTTTGTGGGCTGGGCCTTACCATTGGTCTTGGGTTAGATCGTGGCAACAGTTTTTTTTTAATTTTATCCATTTTTATTACGTTTTTCTGACCCCGAGAAAGCAATCAAAACCCTGAATCACTATAATTGTTCCACTTCGCATTCCTCCGCCATCTAGGCAGCTTAGCTCCTCAGATTCTCTACTCTCAGGTCGGCTTCCCCCTTTTCTTGGGTATTATTATTTTTCTTTAATTTTCTCTTTTATATTAGCTGAAGTATCGAATTGTTTCACTTTACTTCTCTCTTTTGCTCCCTGGAAGCAGAACCTCCGATCCCATCTTCAGCTCAAAAAATGTCGGGGTAAGTGACAACTCTGCCAACATCCGTTTATTTCCATGAAACTCGATCGTCTTGTTGGATTTGTTTTATCGTCTCCATATGGCTTCAAATTGCTTGAATTTTCTAGATGTAGTCTGTGGGTTTTGTATGCTAATATGGATTGCACTGTATGTTTTTTGTTGTTGTTGATAATTTTCCCTTTTTTGGCTTTTCTTTCATATTTGTTAGATATACAAAGTATCTTAAGATCTTACCGGGCATTTGTTTTTTGCATCTGTAGGAGTTTGACATAGTATTTCAATTCTGTCCCATCTTTAGATTAGGTCTTATTGTGATTCCATTTTGTTCCTAACTCGTCAGTTTAACCACCAACGTTTATTTCTTCGAAAGATTGCTTCCTTTGTATGTATTTATGTAGTGCTCTTGCCTGTGACTTTTTCAGAGAAGAAGTTGCAGTTGCCCAACCTGAGGCACCACCCGCTCTTGGTGAGCCAATGGACATCAACACTGCATTACCTCTTGTGATGAGGAAGTCGTGAGCTCTCGGTGGGCTTGCTCGTGGCTTACATGAAGCTGCCAAGGCAATCGAAAAGCACAATGCCCATCTTTTTATTCTAGCTGATGACTGTGACCAACCTGATTATGTTAAGCTGGTCAAGGCACTCTGTGCTGACCGTAATGTTAAAGTGCTACGTGCGCCTACTTCAAAGGCTCTTGGCGAGTGGGCTGGTGTAAGTTGTTCTTTAATTATTTCCGCGGACATGCTGAGGGTGCCTTCTGATGCTTTAATTTCATGCTTGTTCCTTGTTCTTAAATTTGGAAATGTCCTACTCATGCATTTTTTATCAATTTGTTTTCCATGAGACTGTCTTCTTAACCTATGAACCTTTGTATTTGTAAACATGTATTATTTTTCACTGAGATATCCCTTCGACAAATTTAATGTGTTCCTCAGTGAATATTACTACTAATCATGTCACCCGGCTGAAAGAGACTGCTTGAAATGCTGATTGTTCTTCACCTCTGCATGCAGTTGTGTAAGATAGATTCCGAAGGGAAAGCGCGGAAAGTAGTTGGTTGCTCTTGTGTGGCTGTGAAGGTATGAGCATATACATGAAAGTACATTGTCATCTGACTATATTTGATTCATTAGTCCATTTTCTTTCATTTCACCTTATATCTGCTTAGCAATGTCTAGAAAATTTGGCAATGCATGCTTTGTATTTATGGTTCTTTGGGTTTTCTTTTTCCTGCAGGATAATGGCGAACAACATGAAGCTGTGGAAGTTGTTCAGCAGCACAAAGATTAAGTAAAAGAGGATGGTTTCTTGGTAGAATTAGAGTTTTTATTTTTGGCCATTCATGATATTTGCTTGAGCTAATATTCTTTCTTCAAGGCTGAACCGCTGCTTGGCATTTCTTATATACGAGACTTTTTTCCTTTTAAAGTATTGCCAAACCATTTAGAAATCCAACAAATTTTCTGTTTCTTTTTTCACCTCAAACATAATCTACTGACGAACAATTTAGCTTGTGCTAGATTTGAGATATAAATCGTAGAACTTGATTTGGGATATATTACGTTTTTATAACAAATTATATAAATTGTATAACTATTTTGGTTAAAATAAAAAACATATTGATTAGGATTGTAAGTGAATCGAACGATCAACGAATAGTTCGCGAACCATTCGGCGAAAAATTAGTTTATGTTTGTTTATTTATTAAACGAATATGAATAATATTTTATGTTCGTTTAATCTGTTCATTTATGTTCGTTTGTTTATGTTAAGTCCAGTTTAAAATATTAAAACCTAATAAATTTTAATCTTAAATCAATTAATATTTTAAAACCCAATTAATTTTGAACCCAAATAAAAAATACCAAAATTAATTAAAGAAAATATAAACCCTAATATTATTTGAAAAGTTTTTTTTTGTTTCTCAAATACAAACTCAATTAATTTTATGTTCGTTTATTTGTTTGTGTTCGTTTATCATTTTAAAGTACGAACACGAACAATTTACATTCCTTAATGAACGAACTCGAACAAGAAGTTTCGTTAGTTTAGTTGTTCGTGTTCGTTCGTTTGTTTTGACTAAAGTTAAATGAACGAACATGAACATACACTCGTTCGTGATCGTTCGATTTGTTTACATGCCTATTATTTGACAACAATTTATGTAAAATTCTCAATTGTAATCAAAATTATTATCGATTGTTTAATTTTTTTATAATAGGCATAATGATATTTTAGGTTAAAATTTGTTGCACTATAACATTATATATAATTGAAATTATTATCAATTGTTTTATTGTTTTAGAATATACATGATAATATTTTAGATTAAAATCTATATAATCACAAATTAGGCTTAGATTATCTTGTCTCACAGCAAAACTAAAGCTTGAGTTTGAGCTATTAATATATAAGATATCATCATGGACTAAATTTACATCCTGAAGAGAGCCACCATTTTGAGTTTGGGGCATAAAACCTCTGTGACTTTAAAGGGAAGATGGGGTCTCCTGCATGCTCATAAATCTCAAGTTGGGACAGCGCAGGTGACCGAATCAAACTTCCTTTGCAGTGCAAGCTCAACGATAGATATTTTACGTGATTTTAGCTTCTATAAATGAAAGGGGTGAGGTCCATCAGTATGATTGGACAACCAACGTGGGTCACTCGGCTTTATTGGCATGCTCACATGTGCCTCACAAGTCACACCATCTGCCATCCAGTTTATCCTACACCCACAACCAACATGGTTTTTCAACCACCACTATTTTATTAAACAAATTTTAAGTCGGACAAACTCATTTTTTAGGTAAGACATGTTGTAATTGAAAATGTATATTATTTATAATATTTTCTGGTGTAAGTCTTAAATTTCGTAATATGATATTTTATTACAATAAAAGAATATTATAAATTTATACAATTTTTTAAGTTGAATATGATAATATTTAGGTTAAAACTGTATAAAATTAACCTTAAATGAACGTGTAACACAGCAAAACTACCAAGTCTATTACTATGATTTCAATTTTCAAATACCCTGCTTACTTTTCTTTGATTACTCATCTTTTCATTTAGCAATTTGGGAACCATCCTCAAGGAAGTTTAAAAGTATCCGCAAACCAACATCACTTGTCCCCCAATTTCTAACAAATAAAAGGAAATCTTTTCAGCAAACCCAATTTGATCTTAAACTTCTATATTCGTATATATATATATATATATCATGATTGAGTGTTATTAATAAGATTTGTACCATTTATAACCCAAATATTTATAGCTTCATCATCAAGTTATAGAGCCATATCTGATTCTGTAATAAGTTTGATGCCTAATCAATGTATAAGTAAAATGAATATATTCCTTCATTTCTGCAGTTTTTTTTTTCCTGAGGAGTAAAAAAAGAAAAAGAAAAACGAAGTTACAGTTACAGCTGAGGCTAACAAATGTGTGGTCAGCAGAAAATTGTTAGAACCATTAACTTCAAACTTGGCAAAATCTGAACCACCTAAAAACCAAACTCTTTTGCCCCAATGTATTTACGTATATAACATTACCAGACACTTGTTGCCTCACCTTTCACTCTACTCTGCACGCTTAGTTTCTTTGTTTTTTGCCCTTGGAGTGACCAAATCCAAGAAACAAGTTGGTTTTCTTTGTTGGGTAAGTGAGCTTTTTTTTTCCTTCCAGAATGGCAGGAACTGGTGTGTTTGCAGATGTATTAGATGGAGATGTTTACAATTACTATGCTGATGGAGAATGGAAGAAATCCTCTTCTGGAAAAAGTGTTGCAATCATCAACCCAACCACCAGGAAAACTCAGTACAAGGTTCAAGGTTGAACCAGCTAAACTTGTAAAACCACTTTATTTGGCTATATCTGTATGCTCCAGCTTCGTTTTACTTTATTTGTGGTGGTGAAACAGCTTGTACACAAGAGGAGGTGAACAAAGTTATGGAAGCAGCAAAATCAGCACAGAAATCATGGGCCAAGACACCACTTTGGAAGCGAGCTGAGCTCCTTCATAGAGCTGCTGCCATTCTAAAGGAGCATAAAACACCAATTGCTGAATGCCTGGTTAAAGAAATTGCTAAACCAGCCAAAGATGCTGTTACTGAGGTATATATAATCTGCCTCTTGTGCAATTGTTCTAATTCAGAAATCAGAAGTGAACCAACACATCCTAATGAAACTGGTTTTGATGATGATTCCATTAAGGTTGTGAGGTCCGGGGATCTGATTTCTTACACTGCTGAAGAAGGGGTAAGGATTCTTGGTGAAGGGAAATTCTTGGTATCTGATAGTTTTCCTGGAAACCAGAGAACCAAATATTGCCTCACCTCCAAGGTAATATTTCATTTAGTATTGGATTGAAATAAGTTCCTGTATTGATTCACTCATTGCTTCAGCATATGGAAACTGCATGTCTTTTATGTTTGATGATGTAGTTCATTGATTCATTAAACGTACACAGATTCCTCTTGGAGTGATTCTAGCCATTCCACCATTCAATTATCCAGTCAACTTGGCGGTTTCGAAGGTTGCACCGGCATTGATTGCCGGGAACTCCCTTGTTCTCAAGCCACCAACACAGGTACTTTTTACATAATACAAGCTGATAATACATGTAGAGACACAACAGAATCTGAGTAAGATAGTGTCTTAAAATTAGTTGTTGCAATCTTCCTACAGGGTGCTGTTTCTGCTCTTCATATGGTTCAGTGCTTTCATTTGGCCGGTTTTCCCAAAGGGCTAATTAGTTGTGTGACGGGGAAAGGCTCCGAGATCGGCGATTTCCTCACTATGCATCCCGGGGTTAACTGTATAAGGTAGTTCCAGGTCACAGTGAACACCATATAGTTTAATTACATAGCTAGTCATCCATGTGTAACTTGTATTTCCCTTCTTCCTTAGCTTCACCGGTTGAGACACCGGCATTGCTATCTCGAAGAAGGCTGGAATGATCCCTCTTCAGATGGAGCTGGGAGGAAAAGATGCCTGTATCGTCCTTGAGGACGCGGACTTGGATTTGGTTGCCGCTAACATAATAAAAGGAGGATTTTCTTACAGGTAACAACATTAGTTGTTTTCACTTCTACTAGACATTAACATGGTGTCAAGAGTTAACTCTTTTGCTTGTACAACTACCACAGTGGTCAAAGATGCACCGCGGTTAAGGTCGTATTGGTGATGGAATCAGTTTCTAATGTCCTGGTGGAGAAGGTGAAGGCACAAGTGGCGAAGTTAACTGTTGGGGCACCGGAGGATGACTGCGATATCACTCCAGTGGTGTCGGAGTCGTCTGCGAATTTCATCGAGGGACTGGTGAAGGATGCCAAAGAGAAAGGAGCTACATTTTGTGAGGAGTACAAGAGAGACGGCAATCTGATATGGCCATTGTTGTTAGACAACGTTCGACCAGATATGAGGATCGCATGGGAAGAACCATTCGGACCTGTTTTACCGGTTATAAGGATCAACTCCATTGAGGAAGGTATCCACCACTGCAATGCTAGTAACTTCGGACTCCAGGTATTTTTAAAATGTTGGAAGATCATCTCTGTTTCTTCCATTAAAGTAGGGTTAAACAATGCATATGGATTCTGAAATGCAGGGATGTGTGTTCACCAAGGATGTGAATAAAGCAATACTGATCAGTGATGCAATGGAGACAGGGACGGTTCAGATCAATTCTGCACCAGCTCGTGGACCAGATCATTTCCCATTCCAGGGTTTGAAGGACAGTGGGATCGGATCACAAGGGGTTACCAACAGCATTAACATGATGACGAAGATCAAGACCACTGTCATCAACTTACCAGCCCCATCTTATACCATGGGTTAGTATCTCCAGTTAGGGAGTCCATGAAATATCAGAATCACTAGTTATCTTAGTTAAGTTGGTAAATTTGTGTTTAGAGTTTACTGCCATATTGTGTTCAGTTAAACGGATGAATAATGGAGACAAACAAATCAACAAGCCAGCTATATATATATATATGTGTGTGTGTGTGTTGTCTGTTGTGAGATGTATCCAAGTTTCTTCCGAGTAGTGTGATCTATTTATCATAATTTGAACTAAAATGAACTGGATTTTGAAGTATTTGTTCATTCTATCTATTCTCAAATTTTTCTTCTGTACACGTAATTATTTTTTTAAAATTATGTTTAATGTTACATTTTATTTCTATTTTAAAACTTCATCGTTAAGTTTATCGTTAAGTTTGATCATTGACTACGTAAATGATGATGTGACGTTATATATTTCCTTCCGTTTTATTAAATGTGTCAATTATGGACTTTTAAAGAGTTAATATTTTTAAAATTTGACCATGATTACTTTAAATATTTTAAACGATTAAATTTTATAAAATATATATTTAAAAATTAATTGATTTAAGGTTTTTAAAATATATTTTTCATATTTCTATTGATAATAAATTTAGAAAAAAATTGACCAAAAAAAATCGAACAAAATTAATGAGACAAAGGGAGTAACAATTTTAGCCTTTTTAAACATATACGTCCTAATTCAAAATATTTAATAATAATTCAATAAATTATTATTAAATTATTAATATATTTATTCCAAATTAGGTTAATTAGATAAAATGTGTAAGTTTGAGACGAAAACATTTATTATATTACGTCACTTATCATTTTCATGCTAAAAATGATGATAGAAAGAAAAATAATTATTTTTAATAATTTGAGGTGATTAAAAGATATAATTTGTTTAAAAAATTTATTCATTACAAATGTACATATCGTTCAGACACAGACACAGTTGCTTGAATCTAAATTTTTTAGGAAGAATAATATTCTTTTTCTTTTTGTTGTCTTCCCGGTTCCAAACGAATTCAAACTAATTTGCATACACTAAGCCTCGAGTTCGAGAGCTACTTAAAGAATATCAAATTGTTTATCACTTGAACCAACATGGTCAGTGAATAATATTTTTTATGATATAATTTAAAAAATATAATATTTAACTAATAATAAAAATACGCGACATAATAAAACAATTATCTATCGTACGATTCTTGCAATGAAACTGAATGGTATCACAAATGAATTAATGCATGTATTATATATATATATGTCACGAGGTCAGTGGTTCTTTGGATTTGGTTTTGTACGTATACATATCATATAGCAAGCAAATACATATTATATAGATGAAGGGTATGTCGTGGAGAGATCATAACTTACTTTGATTTCCATTAATACGGTTTAAACAAAAATCAATGATGATATTCAATATTTTATGTTATTATTGACAACATTTTGGGTAACGTGAAAACTACAAAAAATATTTTTTAATAGAATATTAATTAATAAAATTATCAATCTGTTGATTAAGAAAATAAGATATAAATATATATAATAAAAGTAATAAACCCTAGCCGCTCTCCATCCTCTCTCCCTTTTCTTTTTTTCTTATTTAGAGTTTATACGCTTTCTATAGATCAGATTAATTTTTTTTCTTTAATTTTGTTTAGCTGCTGGTGACATCGATTTTGATGTTGGTTGCCGACCGTCGGTTCTCTTCTCTTTTTTTATTTCTTTTTAAATTTTTATAAGAATAATTATATCTTTTTGACACGTTTATCTCTGTCTTTATGACACGTTTTTCTCTGTCTTTGTGGCATGTTTTTCGGTCATTTAGTTGTTCTTTTTATTTTATGTTTTCTCAGAGTTGGATTTGACGATGTCACGGCTGATCAAGATGACATTTATTTGTAATCCAATTGTTCTTCCCTACTATGGACCCTATGATTGAATTTGGATACGCGATTTTACGATAGTGGATAGTTTCTCACAACGCTCGGCTCTGATTTTACAGTTCTCGATGGTTTTTCAATAGCTCAGTCCCCTCTTGTGGTTCATTTGACGATGCAGTTATATTTGCTTGTATCTATTTTTTATTTGAGTATCTTTACCATGTATGTCCTTATATGATCTAAAGTGGCTAGTTTGAATGTTAGAGGAAAATGTCCAAATTATGTATTTAGTTTGCAATAATAGTTGTAAACTCTTATTGTAATCTTGGATATTCACTTTCTAATAAAACTAGAGGCTTCTATTCAAAAAAAGAAATTAATATATAATATATAATATATAAATAGTCGTTTGATTCAAACTCAACAAGTTTCGATCTAATTTAATAAGATTAAGTTTTTTAAAAAATAATATCGGTTTGATTTTAAAATGAAAAATCCATTCCACATAACTTGAAACAATAAATATAATTATCTCTTACATATTTAAAAATAATTATAATAATATATTTATATACTTTTTAATTAGATAATTACTTTATTGAATAAAGCTAATATGTATATATATTAGTGTCAGATTAGATGTAAAATTTTACTCTACAAAATCAAATTTAATTTTGAATCATATAATTTTTTTCTAAATTTAAGTGGAATTAAATAATAAATAAAAAAATGTAATACTTAAATCAAATTCAAGTCAATTAAACACTCAAGTTAATCCCATCCATAGTCGTGTATATATATATATATATATATCTTACAAAAATTCAGATTTGATTTAACAAAATAATGTTTTTTTAATGTGAGACTGCAGGTGAAGATATGTTTGTAAATTCAATAAACTCACCGAAAATAAGGGCAGAATTAAAGAAGATAAGGAAAGGATATTAACAACTAGAATAAGATAATAAATAATGGGCTCTGAAATTGTTAAGGGAGGAGTGGGAAGCCCTACTCGCGGTCAGGATAAAAGAAACAAACTCGCTTTCAGTAGAGGACACGTAATAAGGTGTTCCGTAGGATTAGAGAAGAGTTGGTAATTTAATTCAACCTTAATTACCATTAGTGGAAATTGTTATTAATTAATGATGAATTTTAATACCTATTTCTCATTCTCCCTCTTCCTTTTCTATATTTATAATCCCAAACCCAACCCACCGAAGAGCAAGCCCTCCGTCTTCAGTCTTCGGCAGCCACAAAAAGGAAATCAAAATCATTCCCAATCCTAAAACCCCCTCTCATGCTTCTTCTCTCAGTTTCCATTTCTCTAAATCATAAACTATAAACAGTTGAACACTTGCTCAAAGTCTTGTCTTTTTTCTAGCTCTCTTTTTACCCTTTTTTTAATTTGAAACAGCTGTTTCGGAGAATTATGCAGCCTTGTAGCCGTGAGATGCAAGCAATGAACTCCCTCTTAAACCCGACTCAGCAAATCCATCTCCAAGACCTTCAAGTCAACGGCAACGGCAACAGTCACCAGCAGATGCAAAACCCAGACTTGGATCCCACATCATCCCAAGATGACTTCTTGGAACAGATGCTCTCTATTCTCCCTTCTTGCCCATGGTCCGACCTCAAGTCACCTTGGGACCCCCCAAAATCCGATGAAACCGGAGCTTCTAATCCCGACGATAATGTCGGCTTCCATTACGATAAGATTCTGGCATCCAAGTTTAGACAACATCAAATCAACGGCGGTGGTGGAGGAGGAGGAGGAGGAGGGTCGACTATGCCCTTGTCTTTGGATGGTAGATCTGCTGCCGGGTCTCATCATCAGGTTCACGTCAGTTTTTGCCTCTCTTTGGTTTCGTCTTTGACTAGAGTATAACTGAGCTATAGATATACAAATAAACGATTGCAGAGTGGAGAGGGTTCAATGCAAAATTTGTACAATGGTTTTAGTCCTGGATCTTTGCATGGGACCAATCAATCTCAGCATTTTCACCATCCTCAGGCAAGCCTTGATTTTCTCTTAATTAAGAAACATTACGAACCTCAATGGGCTAATGTATTTTATTGATATGCAGACACCAAACCTTGGAGTTGGAGCAAAGGCCGGAACAGAAATGAACCAAACTCAGGCAAGTGGTTCGACGACCGGAGCTACTCCGGCTCAACCCAAACAGAGAGTCAGGGCAAAAAGAGGTCAAGCTACCGACCCCCACAGTATCGCTGAAAGAGTAAGCAAAGCCTTTATATATGTTACTTTCATCGTACAATACATTAGTACCATAAAAAAAGAAGCTCAAAAATGATATCTGAAACGATACGTGTTGGCAGTTACGCAGAGAGAGAATTGCAGAGAGAATGAAAGCTCTTCAAGAATTGGTTCCCAATGCCAATAAGGTACACACTCGCTCCCGTCTCTGGCTTGAAAGCTCAAAATATAAGGACAGGTGTCAGTTAGTAGGATAAATTGGTTATCACAGTCAGTAGCTTTAATGTTAGTTGATCCCGATCCCGACCCTTGCTCCAGATAAAGAGGAGTAATTAGTAACTGAATGTATGAGATTTTAGAATTTTTTTATTATTTATTTTTAAGCTTCATTATGATCTTTAATAATTAAATTAAAGTGTTAGTTGGGGAAATAATTAAACCATATTATTACATGTTTATGATTATTAAGAATGACGAGTGTTTTGATTTTGTGGGTTGTGGAATGACAGACAGATAAAGCTTCAATGCTTGATGAGATAATAGATTATGTCAAATTCCTCCAGCTCCAAGTCAAGGTTTTGCCCCCCTCTCTCTCTTACTTGATTATATATGTATGGGCCTTTCTGACAACTAAATTCTTTTTCTGTTTACTTATGCAGGTTCTGAGTATGAGCAGATTGGGAGGCGCCGGTGCCGGTGCCGTTGCTCCCCCTGTTGCTGATAAGCCTTCTGAGGTAAACCCTAGTTGAAAATACTAACCGTTTTCATCTTTTACGTATGATTTCATGGGGAAAACATAACAAGAGGCTTCTTTCTTTCTTGTCTTGTTTAAGTCATTCATGCTGTTTCTCATCCTCTTCGTCTAAAATCACACGACAAAAAGACAAAACGAAAGCACAGCACGCTTGCCCCCCACTGTCATAGATTCCTCTTTTCCCCCTTCTCTCTCTCTCTCAAACTTTAATTTGTTTTTCTTTCTTTTTTTAGGGTTTAGTTTTTGTCGGAGCATCTCTTTTGTAGATTAAATAATATAATGACTGTAAAAATACAAAAGTATTATGTTCTATTGTCGTTGCAGGGAGGAGGCGATTGTGTTCAGACGACCGCTAACGGTGGTGGGTCCCTTCAGCGGAATTCTAACGGCAATCAATTAACGGTGACGGAGCACCAAGTGGCCAAACTTATGGAAGAGGACATGGGCTCCGCCATGCTGTACTTGCAAGGGAAGGGTCTGTGCCTCATGCCCATTTCCCTCGCCACCGCCATCTCCACCGCTACGTGTCATTCCAGGAATCCTATGATCAGCAATGCGAGCCCAAGTAAAGGCGGCGACGGCAACCATCCTTTACTTCAATCCAACGGGGAAGGGCCTTCCTCGCCTAACATGTCTGTGTTAACTGTCCACTCAGCTACTAGGGGTAACGGCGGTTTCGACGGTTCCGTTAAAGATGCTACCTCCGTTTCCGAGCCGTGATGACGGCGTTGACTTACTAAGAGAACAAAAAGTAAAAAAGGCAGCTTTAAGCCAAAGCCTAGCAGCTAACCTGACCAACTCCAACAAGAAATAAAAGGAAGAAGAGGATCAACCCAATCCTCAGAACAACTTGTTATTGTTATTTAAATATTACTATTAAATAATTTTTTGTTTTGTTTTGTTTTTCCTTACTTTATTATATTATATTATAAAGTTAATGTTCTTTAAATTTAAGCTAGTGGTGTGTATTTTGTACTGAGAAATGAAAGGAACATGGATTATGTTACAGGTCAACGGCCGAGCTACGTTCGTTTATCTTCGCTTTAATTAAAAGTTTGACGAACAGAAAGGTTTTTTAGAACAATTAAATAAACAAAAAGAAAGGAAGAAGTGGCCATCAACTAAGTTATCCTAAAGGCTTAATTCTAAATTATATTTTAAACTTTAAGTGTTTAAATAATTTTTTCCTCAAAATAGGTATTTAACGTTTTTCCGTTATACTTTTTAGATGTTATTTTCTCGGTTATACTTTTATGTGCATTTGTAATAACAATAGTTAAAAAAAATCGTTAAATGACAAATGTCATATATGTATTTTGGCTTAATGTAAAAAATAAGTGTCCAAATACCTTAAGTTAACTTTAGGTAACTAAAGAATTTTTCGCTAAGAATAGGTGACTAACGTTTCCTACATTACACTTATAGGTGCATAAATTATAATGACCATTAAAAAAATCCGTTAAGTGATATGTGTCATGTTTATATAATTTTATAAATCTTTATTTAAAAAAGAAAAACTTAATAATATTATTAATTTAAAAAATCAATTTTTTAAAAAATTTAAAAAATCATACAACCCTAAAATCTCTCATTTCAACTTCATTATCAACTATTGTCGGGCATCATCGGCCGTCTCCATCATCGTCGAACAACCATTTACCCATCGTCGGACCTCCACTTCGTACCATCCTTCTTGTTATTGTCCCAATCTCCTTAAATCCATATATCCAAACTTAAATCCCTAAACCTAATACCTAAATCTCTAACCTTAATTTCAAATTTATCATTCTTCCCTTAAATTAACTTTAGAGATTTATTGAGAGGATTTTGAATGCAATTGGGGAAGAGAAAAATCAACTTTAAAATAATAATTTATTTTCTTTTAAAAATAAAGATTTTGAAAAATATATAAACGCGACATGTGTCAGATTAACGATCGAATTTAATGGTTGTTACAACCTAAGCACTTAAAAGTGTAATGTCGGAAAAGATATGCATCTATTTTTCGTCAAAATTTTTTCATGCACCTAAAGTTAAATTAGGCTATAGTTTAGGCATTTTTTTCATTAAGTCAAAATATAAATATGACATGTGTCACTTAATGATTTTTTAACTATTTTTATTGTGTAAGCACCTAAAAGTACAACAGAAAAAACGTTAGACACATGAAACTGTAACGGAGAAAAACATTAAACATTTATTTTTAATAAAAAATTCTTTATTATGTCTAAACTCTTCACCATATCTAAAACTCGGGTAAAGCAACAACTCGCGCGTACGCTTGGAATGAGGGTCCGCCTAGGCTGTTGTTTTTTCAAAAAAAAAATTAAATTATTCTATAATTTAGATTTTTTTAAATATTTTTTAATAATTTATTTTCATTCATAATATAAAATTATTGTTATCCCTTATACAGCAATCTCTTCACAGTATTTGTTTGCCTGCATGAGATAGAGAAAGATAATCCCGAAGCTCTGCTTCAACAGATGTTATTTACATCTAATAAAATTATACATCCACAACAGGCACATGGGAGTATTAAGAGACATGAAGTCCACTACTTTTGTTTCTATGACGGAGAATACTTTAGCTACTATTCCATTGTCTAAATTCATACGGGGGGAAAATGAACACCGTTAGACAAGGAGGTGGTTCAGATTACAGAATCATAAGTATTCTTCTACAAGTACATTCAATAGTTTAAAAATATTTATTAGCTGTCTTCAGGATTCACTCTCTCATTCCTTTCCCAACACCACCTCTCGTCACAAATTTAATGTTGTGTGTGCATGTCTACACAGAGTATAACATGACAGACAGATACCACGTGTTAAACCTATATAGAAAAAAATGGAGTAAAATATGCAAAAAGACACAAACATTGTCCTATTGTCCTATAGTCGGAAGACTATTTTGTAACTTTTAATAGTAAAGAGATTAAAAAAATCCTATAATCGGGGATAAAAAAGAACTGCACGTAAACTACATTTGAGGCATGAATCAAATCCTTGTTGAAGCCAAATTGTAGAAATGGAAAACAGACATAAGCAGGGAAGTGGCACAGGCATATCCAGGTCACTTTAGTCTAATGTTTCACAATAGATATGGAAAATCAATAAGATTCCATGAATACACCAGCAGAAGATATAAATAAAAGAGGTCTTCGTGCATGTTTGGAATAAACCAATCAAATAGACCATGATGGTCCAATCTTCACAAATGGCCCAACCCCCTATTGAATCACTTATGGTCATCTTTCCTGATTGACAAGTAACATCACTGATGAGTTGATGATGCTTAATCGTACGGTCCAGATAACTCCTTTTCTGTCAGACAAATCCTTAACGTAACCTATTTATAACACTCCACGTGTCCTTACTTTCTTCACAACCAATCAAGACTAAACATGCTTTCGACAATGGTTTTCTCATTTCATGTTTCGTGTATATTGTCTGCATCTTCTACCGTAGGCCGTAGCAGTGAATTAATTTTGAGTATTTGTCCAAATCAGGCTCTGAAACTTGAGTTTTTGGAATGTATAGGAGCCCAATAAGTGAGTACTGAGTGGCATTAAATATATTATATATAACCAGACATACGCATAAATTTATATCAAATATAAAAGTATAAATTTAAAAATTTATATTAAAAATGTAAGGATACAAAATTATAAAAAGTCTGGAAGTATGGAATTAAATAATTAATAAAAAATACTAAAAAATATGTAAAATATATAAAATTTAAAATTTGTAGAGATGCGGCATCTCCCTAAATCCATTGCTGGATGCAGCAGCTGAGGGAAAGCTAAAAGGAAATAAAGGGTTGCATTATTGAAGAGAATGATAGTAAGGTTAAAGGGTTTTAGACTTTTAGGTTGAAGTGGGTTGGTTTTGGGTTGAAAATGATGCAAGGCTTTTTGGTCTTTCTCCTACTTTTTATGTCTTAAAATGTAAAGTCATTGTGGGTTGAACCAGAAAAGGGTTGTCAAAAACACACACACCATGATCTCAGATCTGTGTGTTGAGTTGAGTCTCAAAAGAAAAATAATCTCAGTACATAGCACAGCAGATGGTAGATGTTCCTTGTTCATCTGTTTTTGGCACATTTAAAGGGTTGCTTGCAATGATTTTCAGGTCCTTTATTGTTCCAGAGCAGTGCAGTTAATGATGCTAAGAGGTGGATATTACTTGTAGTAACTATAGAGAAGAAACTGACAGAAGAGAGCGAGCACGAGCGGGCAATTGTGTGAAGACTTGCATACTTTGCAAGTTTGTGCTCACTTCTCTTCTGTCAGCCATATGTTCTCAGCTTTGCACAAGTAGTGTTCCCCTCACAAGATCACACAATCATTATTATTTTCTTTTGTTTATATTTACAACCACCCACATGTAATTCTTTCTGGGGCTCTTTCTCTTCGGATAAGAACGAGTCAATGCACAAAACACAAGATAAAAACAAAGCAGGCTTTACCCTTTGTTTAAAACCCTCTTTCCTCTTCATTTTGTTGTTTTCATGGTGATTTTTCAAGGTTCTTGGCTCTTTATTTTGTGTTTCTGCATCGTCAAGAGCCTAGCTTTCATCTTTCTAAAAACCTGGTCTTTTGATTTTTTTTAAGTAGTAAATATGCTTGCAGTTGCTTTAACTCAGCACTTTGTTTGACATTTAGAGGAGCCGATGAGCTTTTTGTGTAATTGGCACAGGTTCATCATCCAGGTAACCATTTTGAACTCCTTGTGTTGGATTAGTACTGTTTTTGCTGAAAATGTTGAGGTCGGTCTTCAATCTGGGGAAATTAACGCATTTTTCTATGTTTGAATCGAGATTTGATGTTTGAAAAGATATCAAAGTCATATTCTAGGGGTTCGAATTCAAATATATAAGATTGTTGGAAGAAAAATATCTTCTCATGAGGTTTGGGATTTCAGTTTATTGTTGGCCATATCTTAGAGCATCTCGTGTTGGATATTCGTATCTAAGTCCATATAAGTAATAACCTAATAGTGACTTCACAAAAAGATAATCGGGTCATATTCTAGGGGCTCAAATTCAAATATATTTGATTATTGGAAGAGAGTTGTCTTCTCATGAGGTCCGAGATTTCGATTAATTGTTGGTCATATTCTGGAGCATCTCATGTCGAATACGTATTCGTATCTAAGTTAATGTAACAGAAGTAATAACTTGATAGTGGAATGGTGTAATGAGATTTCTCGTTGCTCAAGTTTATTGGAGAAACTAGTTTGTTATTGTGCATGTAGTGATCCCATGAATTCATTGTCCTGCATCAACCTCGGATATTTGATACTCTCCTTTAGTGGCATTATAGTAGTGTGTGAAGCTATTGCTGTATTGAGAGGAGCAACAACTACATCACTACACTGAAACATAAATCAAAATCGTATTGAGGCTCATTGTATTATGTGAATAAGGAGTACAAACCAACAGACACAAGCGTTTAAGATGTCTTGATTCATATGAATAATTTTGTCTTGTTGGTTGTTGATGGTTCATCTCTTCTAATTTGAACACAGAGTTATGATCGATGAGGGATAACAGTTGATAGCAAGTGTTTTTCTATGACAAGCTGACAGGAAATTAATCATAGTGATAAAGATGAAGGTGGGGTATAGGTTGTGGAAGGTTCCAGTCCCATTTCCGTCTTAGTTGGGAGTATTTATGGTGGCTTATAGTGTGTTTTATCTCCTACATTCCTTTTTGCAGGTACCAAACCTAATAACATGCTCCTTAACTTGGAAGTTCTAGTGGGGGATGGGATTGTACCCTCGGCAGTTGATTGCTGCGAAAAAGCAGAGCAGTCTTTTGGAACTGTGAAAACGCCAAAAATCCTGAGGT